GTCTGAGAATGCCTGGCGCTGGGTTGGTGTCCTGTCCAAGGTATATGCTGGCATAGGCTCATTTTATATTTAAGGGACAGTAAAGGTTGAGAACACTAGTGAAGTTTCTTGCAACTCGAATGTCTCTCCTATAAAACAAGTAGCTTTTGTCTTCAGCATGTAGTTAGCATTCTTGATCAGTCACCAACACCGAATGACAAACAAAGATAAACATTGTTAATTTGGATTTCATCTTATTTGTGGTGGAATGTATTGTATGTGAGTGATACTGCATGTTTTAAGAGCTGGGTTTAAGCATATTATTTTATTGTATAAGTCAAATTGCAAATTACCCGCCACCATGACAGTTTTTAACATACACAGCAGGACTTCCTGATTGATATTTTAAGCAATTTGCTTTTTTGAAGGTGGCTGTCAGCTAGGATTTCAATGTACAAGATTCATCTGTGGCTGAGTGCGCTGGTCCCTGGAAAGGGGAAGGGATTAACTTTCACTATTTCACAAACATTATAGATTCTCTTCCTTTGAAGCCAATTAGGGCTCTTTTTAGCCTGTCGGTATCAAAGCAGAACATTTCATTAAGTCAATGTCTGTCATGCTGAGGGTGATTAATGAGTTTCTCTAATACATCATAAAGAATGATATGTAATTTTTTTCTTCTTTTAAAAAAGGAAGGTAGGGGGCATATACATTTAATTCCAATTTAATTAAAAAACATTCAAAATATGTTTTTAAGTTTCTCTCTCCTTTAAAATTGCCATTGTTAAGAGGGACTTCATTAAGGTTATAATCTGTAGTGGAACAAAGCAGAATCTTGTAGAATGGGAAAAAACAGAAGGTTAGTTTGACAATTCACCTTGTATGTAAACTAGTACTACAGTTTCACTTCTTTGGAGAATTGAGGTGAAGCACCAAACTTGCAGCAGCTGTTTCCTTGTGCCTCTTTTACAAAGACCTTTTTATTTTGCTGTTCCACAAGTGGCATACACTAACAAAGGATATGAATATACCCAATTTACCACAAACAGGATAATGTGGATATTTGTCATGTCACATTTCAGGAGGATTTAGTATAAATTCTGTCATATCCAAGCACAAGGGTGTTATCTTCAAAAATAGCATCTAAAATAGACTTTAATGGGGGTTCAGATTTTCTATATGATACCTTCATACAGAGCAGAATCATTTTTTTTCAACAACTTTGCTACATCACTTTGAATTGTTTTCTTACATGTTTCTTTTTCAGTGGATGCTTGGTATGGGATAAGACAATCAAGTTAACAGAGGTGCTTTAAACTTCTAGAAAATGATATGAAATAACAAATAAAGACAGTGGCTACATTATAGCCCGTTAATTCTGAAAATGTTCAGTTCTGAGAATATTAAACTCCCTACGGATTTGCACAGGTTTAGTGCAAAAAAAAAGCTAAAACTAAAACTTGTAATCCAAATATTTAGTTCAATTTGTTAATTAAACTCCTAATGAACAAATTCCTACTCATAGGAGGAACAAAATGTACACTATACCTCTGTATTATTCAAAAACTGTAGTTTCCCATTTCAGTAACACAACTCATTTTGAAAGGAAAAAGTAGTGGCGATAGGACAGAACAGACTGAGATTATTTATTGCTTCTGCTGTCTGAATGACATTAACAGGGGGTAAAACATGATATTATAAATTAAATGCTATTAAATGCTAAAACTAAAAAAAGTTTGGATGTTAGTTTATGTTAGCTTTTTTTCCTTCTTGTAATTCCCAAGGGCAGTTGACAGTCGGAGCATAATGGTGGATTACTGTTACTTGGCTCTGTTCACAAAAACATCTTAGATGGGATAAATGCGTTGCCATCCATCAACTTTAAGGAGACCTAGTTATATATACCTGCTAAGTCCACTTAATACTCTGCTGTGCTCTGTCAATAGTACGGACCAGTAACATGTGTGGTATGACCTGAATGCTTAATGAGATTATTTCTGAAAATAATGTGCAATCATTAAGCACAACTAGATGAATTTTAACAGGGTTTATGCAAAGAGGTATTTATCCAAATTGTGTCATTTCCTGGTGTCAAAATAAGACCAACAACAACAAAAAACAGAAACAGATTTTTTTCATATTTTGATACATCCATATAATTTCTAAAAATACTAAAAAGGCATTACTTTAGTGTGAAGATACAGAAAAAAAGGTACTGACTGACTACATTAGTTTTCTGTTTGACTTTAAGAATTACCAATTATTTTGCTTTACATACTTTAAGAATCAGTAATTATTAATCAGTCTAACTCAATGCTATGACCTTGTCACATCTCTGACAGGCCCACTTTCACACATGTCTTTGAAATGTGCACTGTTGAGCCATCTGTCTTTTCACACGGCGAAACCTCACAGCTCCAATAGGAGAGATGATGCATCAAATGGAGGACTGGTGGAGTCCTTCACTGATAACACCGTAAGCGCACGGGTTCCTTGTAAAGCTCACAGGCACCTGCCGAAGTCCAATCAGCCACAGCCGCACATGAGAAAAGTGCATGCTGGGATCACAGTCACTGTCAGCATTGACACAGTCAAACCAGATCTCTGGACAAACCAGGTCAATGTGTTCTGAATGAGTGCTTTTAATGATACAGCTGCTTGGTGTCCCCTGCTTCTCTATTTTCTTAAAAGACAATTTAAAGATATAGCTCTTTTCCCTGAATAATGAATTGATGATGCTATCATGAAAATTATAGCAGTATGCTGCAACTTCTAAGAACTTAGGACCATATTCAGAAAACATGTACTGTTTTCAGGACAGAATGGCTACTTTGCTCCCAATGAGAAAGAGAGACAAACAAGCTGAAAGTGTCAGACAAAGGCTTTTAGATTTTAGAAAATAAATTAATTAAAATGATTTGAAATGTATATTTTTTCCACCTTTTAAAACACTTTTATGAGCATGGCCTTTAAGACTTGTGTCTATGTTATGTGAAAATAACTGGCATTTCATACTGAGAAGAATTTGGTGTACTATCATTCTATGCTGGGCTTTCACAGCTGGTATTTCACAGCACAGTATTTCATGTCATGAAGCTCTTAGATTGCACATTTGCAAGCATATTCAAAAATTGGAAATAAATGAAAAGAGGTATCACTATACCTCCAGGCTGGATCTAACCATTTGGCCTGAATACCTTATGTCTCATGTTATGAAGATGGGGATCCAGTCATGAGGCATAAATGACTTGTATTTTGTGTTTTAAAGCACTCAGAACGTACTTAATGCCTCTAGACCAGAACTATCACAATTATTATCCATGTGGTAGTCCATGTTGTGTGGGACCTAAGCTGTTTTTTATTCAGCCTTTGCAAAGGTTGTATTTTACCTGATTAGAATAAGGTTTCTTAAAAACAGAACTTAAAAGATTGTTTGAAAAGCTTTTATTTGTGATAACTGGCACAAGTGGGAAAAGTGGCGTCATTTATATAACTTTTTTCATTTGTGAAAGAAAGGCAAGTCTTGTACTATGAGGCCATCTAACTAGGTGGCCCCTTTTTCCCCTAGGGTCTGGTACTTATGGTTACCTTAATGAGTTTTTAATTACACATCACCCCAGATCTGCTAATGAACACTCCTCATATATGATTCTCGCAGTGACTCCTGCTGGGCAGAGGCTGACAAAGATCGAAATGTGAGAATCCCCAGTGCCTGCTCCTGCTGGGGCACATTAATTGGCCTGCGGCACATCAGAACAATCTCAGTCGGCTACGCATGCATCCTCATTTCACCACGGCTATCCTCGGACAGAGGACAGACAGAAGTCATCAAGCCCCGGAAACCCCGTGTATACTCTAAACTCCATCAAGCTGCTTTAGAATTCAGCCACTGAAAGAGCTTTTCAGTCAAGCCTTCTTTCTGTTCTGTTTAGCATATGCAAAATGTTCCCAGTGCACTGCCCATTCTAAAGCGGGCAAATGTTAAAGGCAAATTTTCCACATGTTTCTGTTCATTTATAAGTGTGCTCAATATTTTATTAAACTGAAGGCAGTTGGATGAAGCTGCTAAAGGAAGTAAAATGTTAAGATGGACATGAGAGCAGAGGGGTTTTATTGGTACTGTATTATTTGTTGATTTACTTTCTGTTCCACAAGATACACACACAACACTTTCTCTTCCACCATTTCACCAGAGGAAAACACTCTGACAACATCTCTAATTAAAGTGGGTTATGATTAAATTAAGAGTTTTTATTCAGTTATCAGCACTCAGCAGTAGAGGAAAATTTGTATTCAATTTCAGTAAAGGTCGCACTGTACCCATGTCATTTAAAAATGCGGCATTGCTTCTATTGCAGTCTGTGATGTGACACTATCTTAGACTTGTCATTGGAACAGAATACAAACGTATTTCAAACATTTACAAATGATACAGTACATTTATTTTTTTTAACCCCAATTTCTTTAAAAGCACCTCTAGTACTTACCATAACAGATAAACAAATTAAACCATAATCCCCAAGAGTCATTGGCTAATTTACTCAGTTATTGATATTAAACCAATCACTTCTCCAGAAATTAGCTTTGAATATATTGATATTCTTATACATCAATATTGATCATGTGCATATTACATTTTGTTCTGTAAGTTTCTTAATGGGATAATATACTGTATCTTGTGTTTAAAATCTAAACCTACAGTATAGAGACTCAGTTCCTGAATGGCCGTACCTTTTTTCCACTTGATCTCTCAGTTATAAAGATGGCCTAATGATGTAATTTAATGCATAATTATAATACTCTATGATAATTGAGACCTAAGAAAATAGTTGGGTAATTGTTTAATTGAGAGGGGTAGAAGAATTATGAAAAGGCAAAAGGTTGGAGTTGTTGAACATCTTGTTCTGTCTGAATATGACCAGTGCGTAAAGATTAATACTCATACTAAGGTACTAGCACAATCAATCAGTATTGTTATACAGTACTTCTGACTGTTCTGATCAAATAAACTACAGACTTACCCCATCAGGTCTTCCATCTGATGCTGTAACAATCAGGATATATCGATCTGTGCTCTCTCTGTCCAAGGGCTTACCTAACACCAAAAACCCTGAACTGTGAAAAGCAGAAAAACGAGAAAAAAAACAACGATGACAAACTGCATTTGAATATCTGTGATGTGTGAGACATTGTCACTCTTACAGACATAAAAATAATTTGGCATCCAACTGTTTTTTCTTTTCTTTTACTTTGATCCTAAGTTTTTCAGAGTGAAAAAAACACTTCAAACTGGCATTTTAAAGAATTGCATGCAGAAAAAGAATTTGTACTTTTCAGATAGTGAAGACAATTCATACAGTTACATTTTGACAAAAATATGTCTATTTGGTGATTGATTTCAATTTTAAGATAATTCTTGACCTCATGTTTGCCTTAGGCTAAACCAGTAACTATAAAAGGATAAGGGATTTTTAAAACAAAGCAAAGCTAAAATAAAATGGCTTTATTATAAAATTTTGTTACTGTCAGACCTGTAATGTATTCAGAAGTTTTAGAAAACGTTAAAAAAATTAAATGATTGAAAATAGAAACAAAAACTGCAAACATTTTCATGATTGGACTTACAGTGTTATGTTTTTTAATCAAGAAAAATTTGAATGTTCTACTCCATTTAAATAAATATAAAAATATCTAATGATTAAACATTTAGAAACATATTTTATTGTAAAGGAAAGTATTTGTAATCCCAACACATAGTGTAAATGTCACAGATGCTTTTACCGGTAATTTTTGTGTTAGCTGACACTGACTTTGATTTGCCAGGTTACACAACTCAAGTATCCCAATGCTATTGGGGTTGGATGAGCTTGACTCAATGAGGGTTCCTTGCTTGCCTTGCATAAATAGCCACTGGTGCCTGCAGTTAATTATTTTCTAAGGTACTACACAGCCCACAGAGTTTCATGTGTTGTGAAGGAAGCTATCCCGAATAAAATGGTTGATTGTTTGATTGCGGGTGAGTAGCTCAACAGTATCTGAAGGATAGAGCCTGCAATCCTTGTACTGTCCCATGCTGGCACAGGGGATGTAGCAGGGAGCCGGAAAATAAAATAAAAACTGTTATTCAAAATTGGAAGAAAAAAATATAACTAAATTGAAAACATGATCAGATTTTAGCAACTGTTAAAAACTACTGTATGCTTTACTTGCACCAACAAAAATGCTTTTCATTTCCATTTCCACTACTGCAATTATTTAGCTAACGCAACCAAGAAATAAAATATACATGTATGTACAGACCCCCAAGCTATTTGGTTTGTCTGTAATAGGCTTTAATGGTATTGGATTCAGAAACCAGAAAACGCCACTCACAACTAGATTTCAAATGTTGCTTTTTCATCTATAAGGGAGTTTTATTATAAAGACAGATTTATGTAGCATTATTAAGATAAAGTACAGTAAAAAAATATTTCATTATTTCAAATCAGCCCTGGCTGATTAAGGACGAGCCGCAGCTTCGGGGGGCTCTTTAAGACACACTGAGCACCTCCTCGGAGGGAAGAGCAGACCCCCACGGGGAGAACCTTCTAGTGACAGTCCCGGAGGGGACTGTGATGCGAGCGTAAGGCCTCTTTTCTTTTCTCCTTTCTCGCCGTGTATTTCTACCGGGACAGGATGAGTTTCTCTTGTGTTTGGCCTTGCACACCTTTTCTTCTAGACTGGACCCCATTAGATAGGGTAATGCGCCTGGATACCGCTGTGCCAGGCAGTTCTTTTTTCCCCAGGCTGGACCCCCGTTAAATAGGGACAGTCCAGCCTGGATGTCGCTGTGCAAAGCGGCTTATTTGTCTTGTTGATATTGGTTTTTCCCCGTTTTCACTCTCTTCACACCGGTGCCTCTGTCCCTTCGGACTTCACCCACTCCCGCAATATTACAATAATCTAGATTTTTTTTAAGCATGCTGCTCCATTCTTACATTTCTATTACAATCTTATGGCATCTCCATAGGTTTGTCTACCAATTTATATTTTCAAATCTTAGTTAAATTGAACAATTTCAAGAAAAAACACAAATAAACACAATAACCACCCAATGACCAATAAACAAAAAACCATCATTCTTATTTACGTACAAGGCTTTAGAAAATAACATAACAGGATGTATGAAGTTTTTTAACTGAGGTATTTCTTTCTATACACCTGAAATTTACAGTACATTTGGTACCTTGTGTTCCCTATGGTGAATAACCTTTAATTTAATTAAAAAAACAGTGATTTCTTTATTTGGGATGTTTAAAGAAAAACATACACAAATCTGTGAAATGGAATAGGCAATTAGGAAATAAATTGTCATTTTGTATTAGAAAATAATAAAATATTCTTTAGTCACTTGTTTCCTTTTTATGTTGTTTGTTTTGGGAAAAGTAAACTTCACTAGTGTGTTAATGTTTTATAACAGTTTCATTTCTTTCAGTTTGAGACTGTTAATACTGTGCTTTTTGTGTGTATGGCTTGTTTGAAGTAACCCTTGGAATCAGTGCTGTCTTATTTAGCTTTCACACATACCAAAGAGAAACAGAAAAAGCCTGAGACATGGAGCTTTTGAACATTAATGACTCATCCTACTTTTTCTCCAAAGTTGCAAAGGAACATGCTTCAATAGTCAAGCTCATGTTTATTTCACTGAATTTAACAGGCTAAGTTTGTTAAAAGAGACTGCAGGTACTAGAGCTCTCCTTACCACACTAAAGAAAAAGTCAAATTTACACACAATGCTGACAGTAACTTTAGCAAAATAGTTCTAACAAACCTAAAAAAATAGATTACCAATTTATACATTTCTCTTTTCAAACACACACAAATGAAAAACAACCTGGTTCTGTTTCCTATTATGTTGACTTATTTTTTATTACTTATTAATTATTCATTGTATTTGTTATATGACAAGTGACAATTGAAGCTGAGAGCATACATACTGTACAGAAGCCCTGTTATCTCTAGTACATAGTGGTAAAAATCTTTAGGCCAGGACTCCTGTTACAAAAGGTGGTAAAAAGGTGCTAACAACATTGTCACGAATCTCCCTCACGCAGGCAAGCGCTCCCGCATTCCCACGAACTCTCCCCGTACCAAACATGCACGCATCAGTCCTCTACTTAAACCCTCATCAGTCTTTGCTCACGATTGAGATTCTCTCCCGGAGCTTACCTACCTACCAAGGGCACCACATTGGATCCCTATCCACCGCAGTCAGCCCCTGCGTGACAGAATCGTGAGCCAAAGTATGGATCCCGCGGGCTCTTTTAATCCCATGGCGCTGTTGTCCCAGCACTCTCAGGCTCTTGACCAGCTCAATGCCAGCGTTCAACACCTCGCTAACCTGGTCTCTAGTTTCCCTCCTCAGCCTCTCGTTTCCCACCTTCCCGTAAATCCCACTCAGCCACCACTCTCTCTTGCCTCCTCTTCTCCCCTGCCTCCTCCCACACCGGACCGATTTGATAGCACCCCAAGTATGTGTCAGGCTTACCTGACTCAATGCTGGATGGCTTTCAGCCTTCGTCCGGATTGTTTTCCCACCGACCGTGAACGTATTGCATTTATGGTCGAGTACCTCTCTGGCCAGGCGATGCAGTGGGCTGCAGGTCTTCTTGCCAGGAATGCCCCCGAGACCTCGGATGTAGCACAATTCCAGGCAGCCCTGACGGCCACCTTCGGACAGGTGCAATCTTCCTACTCCGCCGCCTCGTGTCTGTCGGCTTTCTCGCAGGGTACCCGCACCCTCCAGAAATGTGACGGACTTTCGGGTTCAGGCCGCTCAACTGACTTGGAATCAAGAAGCCTTCATTCATCATTTCTGTGCTGGCCTTTCCGAGGAACTTAAGGATCATCTAGCCCAATTCCCTTACCGTACGCCGACCCTGGAGAGTTTTGTTCTCTTGGCTACCGAGATCGATGTCCGTCTACAACAACGAAGGACCAAACGTCTCATGCTCCGTTTGGCTGCCAGCCGCAACGCTCCCGCTTCCACTCTTGCCACACCTCCCACGCCCTTTTCGTCTACTCTTACTCCTGAGGAACGCACCCCTCTCTGTGCAGGAAACCAAGGCACTGGATACCTACATTCAGGACGCCCTGCAGTCTGGTTTCATCTGCCCGTCCTCATCTCCTGCTTGCGCCAGTTTTTTTTTATTACCAAGAAGGATGGTTCTTTGCGGCCATCTGTCGATTACCGCGGTTTGAACGACATTACTGTTAAGAACCGGTATCCTCTGCTTCTCATTCCTGCTGCTCTGGAGTCTCTTCGTGGCGCAAAGATTTTTTCCAAACTCGACCTGCGGGGTGCTTACAACCTTATCTGCATTCGAGAGTCGGACGAATGGAAGACGGCTTTTATCACCAATCACAGCCATTATGAATATCGTGTCATGCCTTTTGGTCTTGCCAACGCTCCGGCCGTCTTTCAGAATTTTATGAACGACATCTTCAGGGACATTATTCACCAGGATGCACTCGTCTATCTGGATGATATATATTATTTTTTTCCAGTAGCCTTCAGGAGCATATTATTCACGTCAGAGAGGTCCTCACCTGTCTTATTAAGAACAGCCTCTATGCCAAACTGGAAAAATGTTCTTTTCATGTTTCCACTGTCCAATTTCTAGGCTATGTCATCTCTCCCCTGGGCACTGTGATGGACCCCTCCAAGACGGCAGCCATTAGGGACTGGCCAATCCCCCGGAACTTGAAGCAGGTTCAACGCATTCTTGGATTTTCTAACTTCTGTCGTCGTTTCATTCATGATTTCAGCTCCGTTGCCACTCCCATCTCTGCACTCACTCGTAAGGGTCCGACTCTGGGCAAGTGGACCGATGAGGCTGATCGTGCCTTTCTACGCCTGAAACACCTCTTCAATTCAGCTCCCCTCCTTCATCACCCGGATCCCTCGCTGCCCTTCATTCTGGAGGTTGACGCATCGGCGCATGGCGTGGGAGCAGTCCTGTCGCAGCGCTCTGGGGACAACTCATCTCTCCATCCCTGTGCCTTCTTTTCCAGGCGTCTCTCCCCTGCCGAGGTTAACTATGCTGTGGGAGACAGAGAGCTCTTGGCCATCAAGCTCACCCTGGAAGAATGGAGGCACTGGCAGGAGGGAGCTCAACATGCGTTCACCATTCTCACAGACCATAAGAACCTCTCCTATCTCCAGTCTGCTCGGCACCTCAATTCTCGCCAGGCCAGATGGTCCCTATTTTTTTACCCATTTTGCCTTTTTCATCACATACACCCCCGGCTTTAAGAATATCAAGGCGGATGCCCTCTCCTGTCTGTTCGATCCACCGGAGCTTGAACTCCCTCCCGAACCCATCATACCCCCTCATCAGATAATTGCGGCGATCCTTCCCAACATCAAGCTCATCGTCCGAAATGCCCTCAAGGACCAGCCTGTACCTCCCCCATGCACTTCGGATAAGCTGTGTGTGACTGATAGGGTCCGTTCCGAGGTTCTCTAGTGGGCTCATGACTCTCGTTTTGCGGGTCATCCTGGCGCCCACCGGACTTTGGAACTTCTCTCTGAGGACTCCTGGTGGCCCTCCTTACGGGCTGATGTTTCGGATTATATGAAAGCCTGTCCCACCTGCACTCGGATTAAGACCCCCAGTCACCGGAAGGCTGGTTTACTCCAACCTCTCCCAGTACCCACACAGCCTTGGTCCCATATTGCTGTGGATTTCCTCACGGACCTTCCCAGGAGTCTTGGCAACACGTTGATTATGGTCGTCGTCGACAGGTTCTCCAAGGCAGCTCATTTCGTTCCCTGCTCCTCCCCGCCCTCCAACAAATGGCCAATCTCTTTGTACAGCACGTTTTTCGTCTCCACGGGATCCCGGAGGACATCGTGTCTGATCGGGGTCCACAGTTTATCTCGTGCTTCTGGAAGGCCTTCTGTTCTGCTTTGGGCTCCAATGTTTCTCTTACTTCTGGCTATCATCCAGAATCCAATGGCCAGACCGAAAGGCTTAACCAGGACCTCCTTACTTACCTGCGGGCTTACGTCTCAGCCACTCAGGACGACTGGACCTCTTTACTCCCGTGGGCTGAGTACGCTCACAACGCTCTATACTCTTTGGCTACTGGCATGTCTCCCTTTCTATGCTCCCTGGGTTTTTAACCTTCGCGCCTCTGGAAACCCCCTTCGGACTCAGTCCTCCCTTCTGTTCAAATATATATCTCTGCCTTAAGGAAACTCTGGAAGTCGGCCAAAAGGCCTCCTAAAGGCCTCACACCATTATAAATCTTTCGTGGATTGGCACAGACGCCCTTTTCCTAGACTTCGCAGAAGGCAATTTGTCTGGCTCTCCACCCACAACATCTCTCTCCATCAACCCTCACGCAAGTTGGGCCCTCGATTTATTGGTCCCTTCCGGGTCATTTCCCAGATCACTCCTGTCACTTACCGCTTGGCTCCCCCCCCCACTCTTCGCATTCACCCCACCTTCCATGTCTCCCTTCTCAAACCTTACCACAGGTCACCCCTCTCCAGACCACAACCTCTTCTGCCTCCTCTATCTATGGCGTCCGGGGCCGCCCCTGAAGGGGGGGGTACTGTCACGAATCTCCCTCACGCAGGCAAGCGCTCCCGCATTCCCACCAACTCTCCCCGTACCAAACATGGAAGCGTCAATCAGTCCTCTACTTAAATTCTATCAGAGGTAAACACAAACCTCAACACTGAACAATGGGATACACCATCCCACAGCTAAACCAGTTTTTAAGTTTTAAGTTGTAAAATATTTTCGCCTCATAACGTGCAATCCGTAATAGAAATCCTAACCATGTTGCAACCACACATACTGTAGCAAATACTTAATTTACTGAGCAGATTTATTTAAAACCTAATGTTATTCTGTGAAATTTCTAAAAGCATTACAAGTCATCTTAATACCCATCCATCAAAAACCCTATGAGTCTTTTTCAAATAACCATAAAAGAGTTGAATGAAAATAAGAATTGGTGTAAATCTGCAAGCTTTTAATGCATGCACTTGTATTTTGAATATTTCTACATATTCTGTTTGCACTTTTCTTTCCTAATGAATAAAATTGGCTCTGATGAATACAATATACAGCATTGCATCAGCTCCACACATTAATCAATTTGCAGATTTGACACAATTTATCAAACAAATAATTTAATTATCCCAGATACTAGAATAATATATCTGAATGCATTGTTCCCTGGCATACATTTATATTTTTCTAAAGCAACACCAACACAAAATATGAGATTCACTAAGGAAAAAGGGAAAATAAAGAATATTATCACAGCACCCACAATGTGAAATTATGAAATTATTGAATTTATCAGTTCTAAATTATAAAAATATATTTTTTATTATTATTATTGTTGTTTCTAAATACACATTGAACTAACTCCAGTATGTCCAAAATTCAGCAGCCAGAATCCTGACCAAGTCTAGTGCAAGTGATCACACTACTCCTGTCCTGGAGTCCTTGCATTGGCTTCCTGTCAGGTTTAATTTCGACTTGCTCACCTACATGTATAAGGCTCTGCATGGCTCGGCACCTCAGTACCTCAGTATCCTACTCCCCACCTCACAACTTTCGCTCTTCTAAATCTGATCTCCTATCTATCTCCCAAGCCTGTCTACAGTATCATCATCATGATCATCATCACCATCATCATCACTATAATAATAATAAAAATATTGCTGTATTTAAGGTGATATATCTAATTGAACGAGAGTTTGTAGACTCCATACAGCTCTTGTGTATGGCAGGGGTCATCATTTCATCTGCTTAGATATCCAAAGCAACTACTCTGTGTTTTTGTGTATCTGTCCCTGCTGGTCTTACTTTTGGGTAAGGTTGAATACATTCTGAGGATCTCCATTTTGGATACGGTACATTATGGGATCACCTTCACGGTCTGTTGCCTAAAGAAGTAAAGAAGAGTAAGAATAAACAAGTGAAGAAATATAATTTTCTCTTAAGGTTTTCTTTATGTAAGGTATGTTAGGATTACATTTCTATGTGTGATTTATTTTAAAGTGAGTTAATTGAGACCAAATTCTTGTTTACAATATCAACCCACAGACCTCCCTGTACATCAGAAAGTTTACTGGAACAATCTGAGTGAAGTTTCTTGTTCATATGATATATTGTATATCTTATTATAGATCACATGATACTGAAAAAAATAAACAATCAAATACTATGCCAAAGACCTGGTCAGTTGGTGATATGTTTCGCAGGTGGAAAAGAATGAGACTGCCCCCTGCAGGGCAGAGGAAGAAGTGCAAAAAGTCCATTTATAAAAGCTTATAGTGTGTATGAGTAAGAGGGTGGAAGGGGAAAGATGGGTAAGAGGAAAATGGTTTATTTTAGTATTATTAAAAATATTTAAATTTTAAAAAATAGTGAAGATAAGATACCAGTAATTTTTAAAGCATGTTTCTACCAAGAAAAGTCCTCATTTCATGAACTACCTGCAGGTTCAGTAGGACAGCTCCAGTCCTCATGCCCTCGCTGACTTCCAGAGTGTACATAAACTGGGGGAACCGAGGAGGACTCTGGTTGTTCGGTGGTAGAACCTCTATATAGACTGTAGTTATGGAGCTCCTGTAATCAGAATAATTGAATGCATTCAAATATACTTTTGTTTCTTAGTGACTGACACATGTAGTGAAATAAACATTATCTTAGCATGCCTGAACAACTTTCTTGTATAATGACCTTTATTAAACCTTGGTTTGCAGTTGAATTTTTGTCAAGATAAGCCAGGCTCTCTGTAGCATGTGCACAAAACACAAAACAACAGGCTTGTAAACATTTATTAACATTTATGTATCTAGATACAATTACACTTTTAACACAGTAAAAGGAAACAATCATTCAACAGCAAGCTTGTAAAGTCTGGAAATATGATTGTCTTTTATCTGCTAATGTGAAGATGTGAAGAGAAGCTTTTAATGGCCCAAGGAGAAATGTCCAAGCTTAAGTTCACACTTTTGATTTGATTTTTATGATCAGTGGAAGCCCTTTTCAAAGCCTGGAATCTCATTTACTGTAGTTCTTAGTTATTCCATGAATAATCTGCTGCACTCAGTGCTGATTGAATTTTGACTAAAGCCATTGGACCATATGGAGATCTTGCAGAACAAGAAGCATTCAAGTGATATAACAGCAGTGCACTTGCATGTGAAGATTATTCTAAATATGCACACTCTCTTTTATTGGAATTGCACATGATTTTTATTTAGGGAAGCTTCACTGGAGTGCACAATAAAACTAAGTCAGGCCTATCCAACTCCAGTAAAAAGCACTTATCATGAAATGAATCCTCTGTTGCACTCACTATCCACGTTTAAGATCCAACTTCAGTAAACAAATAATTATTCACTTGCTGCTTCTCATCACTGGTGTTGGCTCTTATCTCAGTGTGTCAATGCAAGTCTTTGCTGTTCCAGCCTTTCCATATCCAGTGGGGGACAATGAGAATTCTTGCCAGGGGGGGACTTAAATTTGACCAGTCAAATATTTCAAACTTCATCAAGTGATATAGTATGTCAATGCCTATAGGGATCCACTCCTATTATGACTCATACCAAGGGGAATCTGATTGCCTGATATATTAGTCGCTAATTATGGATTAATTGGCCTTCAACATAGATTACTGTGCAACATGGGTAAAAATAAAACCCTACATGTATTCTTAAAAATCAGCTTTCATTCCTTTTCAATTTATCTGGACTAGACAGCAAAAATAACAATAAAATATATTTACCTCCTGTACAAGTTAAATCCATTTTTTCTTTCAATATGGTATTTTGGTATTTAAACGACAGCAAGCTTGAAACAAGAAATATTCCAGAATGTGCACACCCAGAGAAGATTAAATTAGATTGTGGAAAAGACAGCATGTGAATTTGCATTATTTTGTAATTCCCACCTTCTGAAAGGTAGGGAATATTAGTGTGAGGATGATACTACAAGGTTGGGATTATTGCAGTACAAGCCTGTAGTCACCCACCCTTGTATTGATTCCAGGGGAGGGGTAAAAAGATTTATGGGGGGACTTTTTTGAATCAAAAGTGACTGTGCTGCAAAGCCCATCAATCCAGTTTTAATCCCCATGCTCTTAATTGCTTTACCTTCTCTGTGACACAGGTGCATTGTCAGATGCCCTGACAGTGAGGGCATAGGAGCGCCCTACAATCAGACTGACACCAGGAGCCACTGTGATCAGGCCTGTGCTGTTATTTATGGAGAAATCTCCCTGATCACCAGTCAGAATTTCATAGGTGATTTGCCCATTGGGACCTTCATCGGCATCAAAAGCTGTCAACTACAAAAACAAAAATATAATCCTTTAATGTAAAACATTAAGTTTGATTTCAAGTTTAGTTAGGAAAAATATTTTTTGTCAGTTAGTGCTACATTTTCAGTAATGTATTGTACAGAAATGTAACTTGATAGCTCAGCTCTGCAATAAATTCTTATTGCTCTGAAAAGGACAAACATACCAGTACAATAGTTATTGCTCACCAAGTGCAGGCTCACATAAATAACACCAAACATCCTGTTAGGAAGAGTACTGTATGTTGTAGTGTGCCAGAAGATGGGCAACAAAACAAATGAAACATGATTGTTGTCCTTCACAGATTTTCAAAGATTCATTGTTTCTGATTACTTTAAAAAAAATAAATCTGAAATATTATTTGATTTGATTATTGTAATGATTATATAAAAAACAGATTTGTTTTATTTAGAATATGGATTACATATTTTAACAAGTTGTAATTTGTATTACAGCGTTTGTGTGTGGATAAAGATGTCCACACTAATTAGTCACTAATTAGAATTGTGAGGGCATAGGAGCACCCAACAATATGACAGACACCAGGAGCCACTGTGCCCCTGAAGTGTGTTTTTTATATTTAATAGTGGCTTATGTTGTCAAATTTTGACTACATATTTATGATTACTTCATCTATGAATCATTGCAAAACATTAAATATTTTTTCCAATCTCGAGACAGAGAATATTTTCAACAGTTCTTTAGTTCTTGTAATATACACAAAAGTTATTCATATAAAGCAACTGCTAGTTTCTGAAATGCAGAATGAAACTATACTTATTTGGAAAAAAAACTTTTCACTGCTTAAAACAGACATATTTCTGTTCAGTAAAAATAGATAATTGATAACTCTTAATGAAAAAGTTGTGGAAAAGTCCTCCATTAATAACAAAATTACAAATGAATCAGTTTACACAGCTTTTTTAAGATTTAAATGAGAAATGAATAATGGCTCAGATACAAGAGTATCATATTAAATCAAACATTTTTCATGTCTATATTAAAATCTTAAACAGCTTATAGAAATATGACCGGTTATGCACAACATTATATACCTAACCTCACTTCTAAGAAACAGAATAGTTGAGTTTAAAGACAGATTAAACTGGACCTTTTGTATCATTGCTTTGTTTCAACAGGGCTAAGATACCGACTATGATCATGCCCTGACTGCAAAATACCATTTATCAAAGGTCTAACATATCAAAGCAAGACCACATGAGGAGGAAGGGGGAACTATTCCAATTATTTCAATGAGAATTCATTAATATATTAAGCAAGCTAATTCTATCTTTAAAAATATCATGACAGAGGATTGGAAAGTTGCTATTATTTTAAGTAAGCAGCTCATTTGTGAAAGCAGTCAGTAAATATCGATTACCCGTAATACAGTTTCCCCTGGTCGCATGTCTGTGTAAACATTTACACTGTAGGAGATGTTGGGGAAGGTTGGAGTGTTATCGTTGGCATCAATCACCAGGATATTAACTGTGACTGGAGTACTTTCCTGGACTCCATCAGAGGCTAGCATCTATGGGGAAAAAATGAAAAAAAAAAAGTCAAACCTCCCTATTTGTAGTGGTAAAGCACAAATTTGCCTAGCTTCTTTGTGGAAATATCAAAGTTCAGCATTTTATAACACAATCTTTAAGAAAACATAGTAGAATTCACAAGTCATTTGCATTGTCTGTATCTGAACATACATAATAGAACAGGAACAATGTTTCCATACAGCGCCACAAAAAAAAGCAAACAAATACCAGAAAATAAATTGGTCTATCAAAAATAATTCAATCAGCACAGGTTTGGTCATGTTGACACGCAAACCTTACTCGATGAGCTGGTAGGTCACAGTTACCATTGAAAGACACTGCCTCTGGGTTGTTGCTCCACTTGTGAGAGATAGCTTTAGGCATTTTTTTCTGATAACATGAATCTTGTAATAGCACTGATTCATGGTTTTCCTTAAGAAATACTGCCATACAGATTCATTCGCAGGAGTCCAAGTTTCCTAATTTGGTTTGGGAGTAGAGCCAACAATACTGTCTCTTTTTATTCTTAGTCCAGGCACACAGCAGCAATGTGCAGCTGGCAAAACAAACTCAAGATTATACACTATAGACTTCAGATAGACTATTTCTTCCTTCACAATTTTTTCCCCATGAACAGAACAACAGTAGACTGATTTTCCACCCAAAATACAAGTACCACCCTTCTTAACTGCTGCCTGATTAACACAACTGGCCTTCTTTTTACTTGTTACAGTGCAGCTGCACCACTTATTTCATGTGAGGCTGCTACCTCTTCCTCTGCAAATCTGAATATTATCTATGTATCGAAGTATAAAAAACAGTTTTTACAGTTAATAAGCCAGTCAAAAAAAAAACCAGGGGATTTAAAGACTAGAAGCTAAGATGGAGGTTCATAAAGACTTAGATCACATTCACCACTAGGCAAACACCTGGCAGAATGATATTTAAGTGCAGACATCTGTAAAGAGTGTCACACGCAGGTGGCAGAAACATAAAACAAAATGCAAGATAGGAAGCAATGAGCTTAAAAAAGCTGCTTAAGTGATTTACATATCATTTTCACCTTCTAGACAATGTAGGGAAACAATAAAAATAAAATAATTTAAATCAAGAGATATAATGTTATATTAGTAAGACTTCATTTTAAAAAAATGTGCACAATCAGATACATTCCTGAGATTAAAGTATACTCTTGCTATTAGGCAAAAAGATCTCAATATTTTTAGTTTTGAACAGAAACTGGATTTCACCAGAATCAACAGTGAAACACAAAGCAGATGACACATGTAGAAACAATAGGAAAGTACATTTAGAACTGAGAACAGCAGATTTTTTACATAAGGGGGTGTGAGACTCTGGAACAAGCCTCCCAACAAGATACTGTATACCTTGGTATCTTTCAATAATTGTTTCAAGATATGATCCTTGGATCAATAAGCTAACATCAACCTTCTTATGTTAAATAGAATGAAGCACAAAACATAAGATGTTCTACTGATGTTCTTATTGCTCACTCTACATGATAAATAAAAAATATTATGTTGTTATTAAAATAATGAAAAATAACACATATTGTTACAATTCATCCAAATGTTTAAATTTCACCATTCATTAAAATGATGGGCATCCTCACACCAACACTGTCGGGTGGCCACACAATCATACTGATTTTAAGCTAATTAAAATCAATTGTGATTAAATCATTAAATCACCTTTCTTAGAGGATCAACAGTGAAGAAAGAACAAACAAAAGGAGACAAGAAAATAAGCATCTGAAAGAGTTTCCTCCCTCACAGACTAGAACTGCAGAACCAGGAGATTCGAGTATAAAAAAGATGAGACTGTATGCCTTCAGTAAAGGACTTCTGTTTTATACAGTATATGTGGAATACTGATTTCCTGATTGTGGTATGCAATAGGCTAAAAAACTATTTTGTTAAAAAATGTATTGTAAGGAATGAAGAAATAGGTTCCCATTTCTATAGCATCAGTTTAGGTAATAATTTAGTTCTCAGTACAATCTTCTATTGGGTAAAACTGTTTTTTTCATTCCATGTACAGCATAGTATTTGTGCCTTAGTTAAAAGACGACTCCCATGTTTTTATGTCTGTGGAAGGCAGAGCAGGGCTCTGAAACTCACAGATTTTTAATAGGTGTACATAGAATAAGTGAATGTATTACTGTAAATAAGTATTTGTCTTGGTTATTACATTGTTACCACACTGCACCAGAAAACAAAGAAAACACGTGCTGTGTTGCTGTACAGTATTCCCTGACAATACCAGATGTGCAATCATTAACACGTACTAATTTGCTTGCATGCAAAGGTGGTATCAGAGCCTGATATGATATTGGCTTTGATTTAATTGATTTTACTATTTTTTAAATGTTACTGTTTGTTCTTTCCCTGCAATCTCTTATTACAATATAAAACATATTTTAAAAAATAAGTTTGCATATTACATTATTGCATCAAAATCTACACACACAAGGAATGAAAAGTTGTCCATGATTCTAATCAGCATGGGGCAATGTGCAGTCATTCACTGACAGGATGCATGACACTCGTATTGTATTGTTTTATGTCAGTACTTCTTAGCTTCAGTTCAGAGCCTTGACAGAATTTTGCTGCAGGCATTTACCTTTTCCAGTAAAAAACATAGTTATGAGCCTCTAAGTCTTGTTCTGTGCAATGAAGCTCAGGGCAGGGGTTATTTTATCTGTAAAAGAGTGCCAGACTACTCTAGAACAAACATTCATGTCATACTCAGAGTCAATTAGAGATCAAAAGGTAAGTCTCACTGTAAACAAAAGGCCAGGTTTGTGACAGAATCCTACTTACTGTATGTACTGTATATATTTATGTTATGATATGATTTATACATTAAGCAAAATAGCTTATAAATCGAATTTACTTATTCCAAAATCATCCAGCATACTCTCTATGCATGATGATATCTTTATTAACTCTTGTAAATAAGAGCACAGCATGTTGAAGAACAGTCCATCAGTAACTTGTAGTATGTGAAATATATCCTTAATCCCACTGAATTCCATGATGTGAAAAATGTCTTTAAACCCTTTACTAGAAAAAGTGTACCTCTTTCACTGTTTTAATCAATTTCTGACTATAAGCTGTAAGAAATGCAGGACAGATGAAGAGTGCTTAGAATTTTAAGATGCCTGGACCAAGTCTCCAGAGTCATAGGTAGAGGAAGAATAGGAATTTATACTTGGTGAGACAGAGACAGATTATAGTTTCCTATAAGAAATAAACTCTGTAAATGGTACATGTTTAAAAACAATGGCAAACACACATACACACAAACAAGATAAAACAAAAAAGAATATGACTTCATATATAAGAGTTGCATATACTGTAGCACTGCTGATATTTTTTTAATCAAACTTACTATATTACACAAAAATAAGAAAAGCGTTATCCACACATTTGATCTAGTAAGGATGGAGACTTGAGTCCAGACCTAATCAAAGGTTTTTGTCATGCCTACTCAGTCCTGCCCCTAGTTTCCTGTGCTTTACTCTCTCTGGTGCTATATATTTCCGGGTCACTTATTCTCCTTCGCTCAGCATTGATGTTCGGATGTCCTGAGACCCGCCTTGCACCAGGTCGCCCCACGTCTGCTGCCTGAGGGCATAGGTTTCTATACTACTCCTGAACTGCTGAGCCTGGGCAAACCCCCGTCTCGCCGCTACGCATTTTGTCTTTTTCCGCTCTCCTGCCTCTCCACGGTTTGTCCTTTTTCAGACATCCGTGACAGTTTTCATGCCATTAATAGGACTGTCTGTACAAAAAGGATGAACTTGGCTGTTGTTATTAAAACAAACAAACTTGGCACAGCTGAACTGGTGTCTTGGGGCTTCTCTACTTCAGTGCAATGAATTGTGAGTTGTTTTAAATCGCTATACCAACACAACAAATCTCCAGCAATAAGACAGTGCACAGTCATACCATGAAACTTATTATTTTGTCTTTACCTTGGACATCATGTACCCAGAATACTGAGAATTGTATTGAGACATTATTATGGCTTTAGGAAAAACGGTAGGGGCTGTTTCTTATTTTCTTTGGAAGTAGTTTGAAAAGTTGTGTCCTCTTGATTACAAATAGGTAAATGTTATAGCTATACACATTCAACAAACCACAACTGTATTTGGCTGTATACTAGCAAACTATGTTGGTTCAAGATCTTGTATTTCTTATGTTTTAAGACCCGAAAAAATATAGACTCCCACAGGGTGTTTACCATAATGTGCTTTCACAAACAGCCACAATAAACTAATAGGGGGCTTATTTTAAGAAACCTTTTAATGTCCTACATCTCCCTGATTTCAATTAAAATGTTTAACAAGAAACAGATAGCACTCAAGTGAATTGCTTATTTCAGACTGAACAATGTGTCAGTTAATCGACATATTTTCATGTAGATGCCACAAGCTCTATCCACGAGGGAACAAAAGAATGTGGGCAAAGGTGTCACTAAGTAATGCTTCATCATCAGATCTATAAAAGAAAACCTCAGATTAACTCCTCTGGTACTGCACCAGGGAATCCTACGGCTCCATTACTGTCATAGGCATACTGTGAGCAACAAAGACAGCTGAGTGCTTTGTACCAAGAACAACTGTGACCAAGGTTACTCCAGAAAAGAGGGGAGGGATACATATAAGACGGTAAGAGGCACTTAAAAACTTTCTTCCCTAAAGAAATAGGTTGAAGCTTACCATTATAACTTCAGCAACAGAAAGAAAATTAGTTTTTTTTTAAAAACTCAAAGCAGACTCAGAAGCTAACATTCATGTCCTCTTCTGCTGTCAAAGAAAGCCTTGAGCCCTTTGGAAGGACTATAGTAATTTTACATAGAAGGTCACCTACAACTTTGAACAATCCTAGAATCTGTAGAATACTCAGGAATTCCATTCATTAACACTTCTTTAACAGACATACCTGGAGTGATTTGATACCTAAAGTACTCTAAAGCATTCTACATGGTCTTAAAGGGCAAAGCAAAAACTGAGTAGCAGAGAAAGTGCTAGTTGGAATTGCAACTGCTTCAAGTAACAGGATGCTAATTTATACAGAATAATTTGGGATATATGCCTAGAAAAATAAGTGTTTTTTCAGGGTTTTGCTATTGATACACTGTTGCCAATATTTATTTCTTACTCATAACACCATTGCTTTATCACCAGTAGGATAAATTAATATTGTTTCATCATACATGTTATATGGATAATTGGAGACCAAAGGTCACAATACACTAATGATTAATTAATCATTAATTAGTTAATAATACTAATTAGTATTATACTAATTAGTTAATAATAAAAATGATAGCTAAGAGACTATAAGAAATGATCACGATGGTCTTAACGACTGCTTCTAGCTTGTGGATGCTCTGAGCAAGTTCAGACCTTATTTCAGTTATTTCAGACTGCCAAATAAGATGGTGAGTGGAACATGTTAGATTAAAACATTGAAAAGCTGTTGGCAACAATCATGGATAGTTAGAATAGCAATTTCCTCAAACTTCTAAACACTAAATGTTTGTGTAAATGTAATGTAAATGTAGTGCCTAAACACTAAATGCTGAAGTAACAGCCAGAGTTGCAAATCAAGGTGAGAGATGTATAATTATTCCAGTATTTTGGACTATTTTCCAGTTTTACAAATATTGGTTTGAAAATGGTTTGTCTGTTGAGCTCAAATCAACTTTTGTCACCTTAAGAGAGACCTACTGAAAATTTTCACCTATGAGTTCAAGGGTGTGAATGTTTCTTCAGCTGGTGCACTGCTAAGGCAGTAACGTGTGACATTTCTAGAAATAAGAAACTCATTTAATTAATCAAGAGATTAACCTTACATGTTGCAATCAGAAAACAACCACTTTTAGAAGTTATTTTAAAACCTTTGGTACAGCCTTCGTGAACTGATTATACTTTTTTCTATAAAAATGGCACAGCACAATGGGAACATCACATCAGATGTACAGTACATAGAAGTATTTATATGCATCACATCAGATGTACAGTACATAGAAGTATTTATATGTGGGATAATAGTTTTTTAGTGTGTCCTTTGGCAACTCACACTTGTGTTATTATAGAAACATTAAAATTCACATTCAATAAATACTTGGCATTTTTACAAAAACACAGTTTCATGCAGATTAAGCTGTGACTATAGAAACAAATCTAACCATGACAGAAATCAGCCAATTTACCTAAAAGAAAACTGACTAAACCCTCTAAAACTTTTCACAATGCGAATTCTACAGTACATTATTACACTTAGTTATTGAATAAACTGTGGTTCTCTTGCTGGTAAAAGCTTTTAACTGTAATTGAAAAAGTTTATGAAACTGCATACAGTATGCAAAAGATGCAAACCTGACTGCTTTGAAGGTACTACAGTTGTCACGCTAATTAAAACACATTATGAATAAAATAGCACTAGGAAATGGAAACAGCCTTCACTAACAGTAAAAAGATGTGGCAAATGTATGCTAATTGCTACCAATATTCTATTGTTAATTTCTAGTACTGTGTTGGTTGTCTTCTGCGTTAAATAAACTTGAATGTAACATTATTATTTCTTATAAGACCTGCCTGCTGAGAAGACTATGGAAACAGTTAATGAGACAGGCTACTGTATAACATTAAGGACCTCACATTTATCTTTCCCACAATTTAATTTTTTAGTGAATGCTCTTACATTGATTGCTTTTTACTTATACAAGCAATCAATACAAAAACCCTAGGCTTTTACTTTTTTAAGGAACAAGTAATAGGTTTATTCCATGCTGAAAAAAGAAGAAAGAGAACACTACGTTTCTGCCGTGGAGCCTTCTTCAGGTGTGAGCTCTCACACACCCTCACACCTGAAGAAGGCTCCACGGCCGAAACGTAGTGTTCTCTTTCTTCTTTTTTTCAGCATGGAATAAACCTATTACTTGTTTCTTTGCAGCCTACGCATGCTGACGCAGCTACCCACCTTTTACTTTTTTATATGTATACCAAGAACAAATAGCTACTGTAGTTATTTAAAAAAAATCTATTCTTTAGCATCCCATAAATCTGGACAAAAACAATTCGGCCCGTCAAAACAAAAAAACAAATAAGAAAGAAAATAGGACCCAAATTCTAGACAAAACTCAAGCATGTAGTAAAATTACAATTATTTTATTTAAAAACTAAAGTTTTATTTAAACATGTATGTGCATTGCTGTAATCTCCACCAGCAGTCAAATTACACATAAGCCATTACCACAATTGTCCTATAAGTTGACTGGAGGTACCATCTTTTTTAGTACAACTCGCTGTACTGGAACATTCAAAGACAATGTACAGTAACTGCAATGAAAGGCAGTGAAACCGCCAGAACAAATGTTACTCCTAGTAAGAGAATGTGGGCAAAGGACATCAGGCACTTACCACGAATGTGTAGGTTTGTTGCTGCTCCCTGTCCACTGACTTCAGTAAGGTCAGGTAGCGCACTATCCCGGAAGGAGTCACAGTAAAGACTGTGTTGTAGTTGTTTAAAGAAATCTGCAGCATGGGGTCTTTGGTCTTTAAAACATGATTGAAAAGCACAATTAACCCAGTGACATGTCACGATTGGTGTAGAACAAAACCTATTCTGTGTGTCTTCTTCTCTCCTCATGTTGCAATCACAACAACTTCCAGCTCATGTTTTCTAAAGACCATGGCACTATTTGACCTGTGTAACAAGACTGAATCTGGGGAGGTCAGTTTAATTTAATTTCTAGATCTGTAATTTACCTAATTTTAGTAGTTTGGTCAAATCTTTAATTAAGACGGAGAAGAGGTGAGCTTTACCTGTTTGGAAGGATGGGGCTGTCAGAGCCCCCCAACCTTATATTTTGATGAAGAATGACACCCTAAACAAGGGCGAAGATGTGGTGTAGGGAGGGATGCGACAGTGAACCACTCATGCGAATGTGTAAGAATCAGGACATTTCAATGTAGGTAGGCTGAAGGGGCTGAGATTAGAACTTTTGTTTAAATGCCTACATATCCTGCTTGATAATTTTGTTTTTTATACAGTTCAATATACAGTTATTTTCTCTTCTTAACTGTTGAATAACCTGTTAAACACTATATTTTCAGGCAGACCGATTTTGTATCTGATTGTGTTATCATTTGTCATTCTTACTAGCCATTCCAGGAAAAAGAGTGTCCAAAAGTGTGTGTCACGCTTAATTGCCAGAAGGTACACAACTAATTTATCTTGTTGCATAAACCTGGAAAGGGAATGAATATGAATCATGTCCATTCATAGCACTGAATATTCATGCCTGAATATACAGCACTTTAGTATGCCACCACTTAAAGTGTCTCCCTTTAAGAAGTTAGAAGTGTTTTTGCTGTTGTTCTGTTTCCTTTGTATAATAACCTAAGAATAGTTACACATGAGAGGAGACCTTGGGTAATATCTTGCTTACCTAGAAACATTCTGGAATTTACCCATCTTTTTAGAAAGGCTTTAATTGAATGGATATTTGTAAAAAACAGTAATGATATGGAAACAGATGAACAGCAACATTGAATCACACATAATAAGAACAAGATGTAGATCAGTTAAGAAAAGGAATAATAGCACAATAAAGATGATACACACAACTCCTTTAGCATTGCAAAACATAACATAAATCTAATCCAGTGAAGCAGTAAAGCTGTCAATAGCATCACTGCAATAACTATTTTTAAGAACATAAAATAAAACTCTGTACATCCTAGGTGTGTTAAACATCAGACCTAATCTAGGGAAATCCATTAAATATGATATTCCTTCTTCTGAAACAAGCTCTTCTTCTGTTTTTTTATCTAATGCTTAATGACAAAATTGCATACATTTAACAGCCTATGGGTATGAACCCTGGATTGGTAAATGAGTCTGATAGTATCCAGTATTTGCAAACCATACAGAAATCATTCTGATCAGGTTTAGATTTGACCTATTCAGTTCTTCAATCAAAATACATCATTTATTGACAAAAAAGTACCAACCATAAGCAAGTGCTTTACCAACTTCAGCAAGTGAAAGGAAAATATTCAAATATTATAATAACAATGGCTAATAATTAATGACTGCTGGTGACAAAGCTTTTTGTATTAGTGAATTCAGATGTAAAATCCATTAAAATGATGTTCAAACAAAAGACAAAACTTTAAAGTGTCCATGCAACTCTAGCAATACAAAAGGAGACAATACAGGGTATATGAAGAAAAAAACAAGGCATTAACCCCAAATTGGCTCATGAATTGATATAACTGGAGTAGCAAGAAACAAGGGAATAGAACAGACTGTTTTTTATGACAAAGTCTCTTTTAGTATTGTGTAGGGAAGAAAATGAATAAAAGATTCAAAGTAGAGTAATGGTCATATTGTTTTGTTAATATAACAGGAGACAAAAACAGCCTTTAAAAGAAATAATTGTCTGCACTTGTTCCAACCAATCAAAGAATGCTTTGGAATTTCAATGAGGAACAGAAAAAAGCTAAAGTTAATTTGGCAAGCACTGTGCTATAAAGATAAACAATGAAAAAATGAAGAAAATAAAAAATGCAGCATAATCTGACATACTGCAGTCTAACAAAACAGCTTTCAAGACCTTTTAGACCATATTTACTTGTCTTACAAGATGAAAGGCTGATGTTAAATGTGCTATTTCTCATATTGAAAATGTCTTATTTCCAACATTTTCTATATTTAACAAATGTGCAGTATACTGATGGTATATACTGTATAGATATGTTATATGCTGTATGTATGGAGGTTTATTGCCTGCCTATTGAACTGTAACTCCCATGAGGTCTTTTAAAGTTTTCTGAGGGTTAGTATTCCCTGTGCCTGAGAACCGTCCACAAACTATTACTTGATCACTTGGAGGTGCTTGCATTTCAATTCTGCACATTACAATCAGGCATCATTCCAGCCTGACAACAAGACTCTCATCACCCTAACAGTTGCATGGAAAGTTATTTCTTTTTCCATTTTTGTGCTAAATTGGTTAAAAAAAGTACAGAATACAAAATAGGTTAATTACTGCAAATTTTGGTAGGCAATTAAAACAAAATTATCTTCTTACTACTACAACACCCTGGAGCTCTTGTCAGTATTATCATAGTTAATATGATGTATCATTACAAACTATTTTTACATAGAATACATGCTCTATTCTCAAGATTATTCTTTCCACATAAAGAAGTGTAATACTCCTTAATGCAGGCTATACATTTACAGTAAGTAGCCCCAAGGAAAACAAACACCCTCATATAGTCCCTTTTCCTTGTCTTGGTGTACAATATTTTTGAAAGATGTTTAATTTTAAAAAGTTATAGCTGCCTTATTTTATCTTCATGTACCAGGCAAATTCTACTTCTTTCATTCTCATTTTTAAATACTGTATATTCATTAGATTGTTATTGTATTAAAGTAAATGATAAAACTAGTCAGATCTTAACAGAGAACTTAGATACGTTATGTTAGATACAGTATGCCAAAAAGGTTCATGTTATCAGCACCTCCTGTAAGCACAGGATTTCACAGTTTTTAAGAAGATTTTGCCTCCGAACTTTGATCTATCACTGCCAAAACACAAATCACATTAGTTTTATTTAAAACACTCTAATTCTATACAACATAACTTACAACTGCTGTGATGTGGCTTACTGTATATTGTTTTATACATCTGTCAACTTAAATAAGCACTCTAAGTAATTTCAATTTTTTACTCCACATGTGTGAGCATGAAAAGACCTTAATGACATTTTAATATCCAGAACATCATAAATTTAATCTTTGCTGATATCTGATGGTTCAACTGATCATATCTGATCAGTGTTAAGGTTTATTAAATTAACACCACAACTGATGTTAATTTTTAGCTTTTTTGGTTAATACTTAATGAAAATCATACATTTACAGTACAGGATGTGAAAAATATTAGAAATACTACAGAAATATTGTGAGTAATGTGGCAAAATTTCCATAAATTGTAAAAATAAAGAAATATTGTCTGAAGACAACACAGGAGAGCAGTAAGGAAGGCTTCATGCAAAATTATTAAAAACACAAGCACACACCACAGCAAAGAATATGAAAACTTCACACTTCTAATTGGCACAGAAACTACCAAACTCCCTAATACCTACAGGACTGGCACCAGGAGCAAGCTAAAATAAAAAGAAGACAAGAAACAGGAATGGTGTGATTGAAAAGACAGTTTTCAAACCTCTGTGTATTTTTCCAACCAACAGGAATGTAGGAGAGTCTTCTCATTATACAGAAAAGAACACTAGGGTTTACCATCTATTTGTATTGCATGTACACACATTGTAATTTAGCTGCTAACAAAATGCCTCCATAAGTTAAATAAGACATTTAAAATAATTAATCTAACACATTAACTGATTGTGGTCTTGACATATTTTGTTTGGTACAAGTCATATCTGTTTGACAATTATAAATAACTTTCACTCACAGTTTGGAGCATGGTTACTCCAATATATCAGATGTAAAAATTGCTTGCAAGGCCATAACGCTTAATGATTTAATTAAAGCACTTCACCAAATTCATTTAGTGTTTAATTCATCAGTTCTTGTTAGATATGCTAATACCTCAGTAGTGTAATGCTTTCATATGAAACAACAGGTATAAGAATTATCTCCTAAAGGATGCAGTTTCAGCAGGAATGTGTACTATACCTCTGCATCCTTTCAAAACATCATAATTTTACATAGCAAATACATTAGCAGATACATTAGGTAGCCATAAAATGCATACAGTGCATGGGTGAAGTTTTTTTTCCTCTTGAATTTCCTTTCTTAAGAGCAATGCGGTACATACAGTATCCTGAAGCATTCTCATACAAGTCAGTGTAAAAAAATGAGCATCACACTGTGAAAATGCAGTCACACTGAAAACCACATCCTTCTTAAACCTTCTACTGCTTTAAAGCACAGTATAATAAAAAACGATGTCCTACTAATTATAGTCCTTTGTAATGATCAATTTGGATTACCGATTACTGCAATGTACAGTTTTACATTGCAGAATCTATGCGTTTTCCTTGTAATTGAGATTAGGATTTAATTAGAATAAACTTCAACCTCAAGGCATTATAACATAGTAAAACTATTCACCATAATGGTTTAGTTTATTTAAAATCAGTTTTTATTTTATTATTGTTTCCTTATTAAAGGAATATGCATATAGGCTATTGTTTGGCTTCTCCTAAAAATAAAACCTGTTATTAATATGAACTTTTGAAAAGATTCTAGATTAAAGTATTAAAAATCACCTAAGATTACATTTTAGACTAATCCAACAAACTGTAAGAGTAACAAAATGAAAAAAAAAATCTGATTTCATTATCTATGATAGTGGGTACTGTGAAGTTGTTTTTTTTAATCTTCTTACCTCTTCTATGTCATTGTCCAGGGCTATTATTCTGAGAGGCGCAGTAAGATTTGCACTGTTAGAGATGGTTGTGCCCACTGGTGAAGACTCAATAATGTATCCTTGATAGGTGGATAATTGAAAGTAAGGGGCCTGATTGTTCTCATCCAGGACTTCAATATGTAAATTTGCAAAAGCTGGAAGGGGATGTCCATTATTTTGTTCAGCCTAAAAGAAACAAGCAAACAAACAAAAAACACTTTTCACTGCCACTTGTTTGGTTTGAACCATACCTGTGATTGCATTTATTAGGACGCATCCTGCTGGCGCAATCACAGAGAAGGAACAGAGCACTTTCCAGCTGCCTGCTGGTTGAATGAATGTTCCTAGCAAAAGACTCTGTATACATTATCAATACATTTGTGACATTGTATGAGAGCAATTATGTTATACCGCTAGAGCCTGAAAAACGTGCTCAGCCAAGTCACATCTTTTAATTTCAGCTCCCCAGGCCTTTTTTGACTCACTTGTGTTCTTAACAATAGCTGAAATAAAAATCCCAGTATGCCTACATGTAAAATATTCTCAGCTGTAGCCTCAGAAAATTGATTCAGTTTTATAAAAAAAGACCTTAAACCATACTAGTGTACTCTGATTTTGCTAACCAAGTACTAATAACATACTGTATAAACCAATTGGACCTTTAAATTTTCCTTTTATGATATTTTTATATTTAATACTCTGTGTGTGTACTATAATCATACAAAAGACAAGTAATAAAGACAACAGAGGAAATCAGTACAAGCATTATTGATCATAGAGGAACACACTGTAGCAGACTGTACCACAACAACTCTAAATGACTGATTTAGTGGAACAAAGATTCTTGGACTAGTTGATCAACCTAGCATGTAAAAAGCAGCTGGCAGAAAGTTAATTAAATACACTGGATTTGACAGTCATGCCATTAGCTAATTGATGAATGCCTTCCTCTCCAATGATGAGTTTCAATTGCACTGCAAAGAGGCAAATATGATAAAAACTAGAAATCACTCAAATGATAAAAGAGGTACAAACCAAAGGCATTTAATTAAGGTATGTAGATACTTATTGAATAGACTGATTTTTACAAAACCATTGGTTTGCCTTGAGGATTAACATTACAGTGAAAAAATCTTTTCTGTTTCTATTGCTGTTTTACAACCTTCCTCAGCTGGGATTTTATTAAGAGTATTTTACAGCACCAGGGATTCACCAAAGGCTGACTCATGTATTTATTTTTAGAAGAGTATTGAGAGTATTCCCAGACTGGTGTATCATGCCATCCAGACAACTTCCCCAGTGTTATAAAACACCCTTCTCAAATGCTGTAGCAACTTCTCCCAGTGGGGTATAAATTGACTTCAATGCTCACTTCTTCTTCTTACAGTATTTTTTGTGGAATACACTCTAATTTAATTTGTACAGTTTTATTTTTTTAATTTTGTACTATTTATTATAAAAATATTTTGACATCCCTAACAATGAATGCAAAAATGCTCAACTGTTTCTAAACACACTCCATGACACCACAATCACAGAACACAAGGTAGTTAAAAAATGAATTATATCACACAGTAAAAAAGTATTTGCCCCCTTCCTGATTTCTTTTATTATTGCAACTTTTTGACACTGAATGTTTTCAGGTCTTCAACCAAAATCTTATATTAGATAAAGGGAACCTCACTGAACATTTTTTTAAACTTATTTACTTATTTGTTATTTAATGAACAAAGTTATCCAATACCAACTGGCACTGAGTGAAAAAGTAATTGCCCCTAGTTAAATCAACTCAATTAAAGGGATAATTAGAACCAGCTGATTGAACACAGCCATGCTGGATTACAGCCAGCTCTGCTCAGTATAAACCTCACTTACTGTATTTTGACCCTTAAAATCAGAGTCAAGATGCCAGCACAAAGATTCAACAAGCACATAATGCCACGATCAAAGGAAATTTCTGAAGAGATCAGAAAAAACGTTGTTGATATCCATCAGTCTGGAAAGGGTTACAAAGCCATTTCTAAAGTTCTGGGACTGCACTGAAGCACAGTGAGAGCTATAATCTCCAAATGGAGAACACTTGGAACAGTAGTGAATCTTCCCAGGAGTGGCCGACCTGCCAACATTTCTCCAAGGGTGCAGCCTAAAATCATCCAGGAAGTCACAAAGGATCCAAAAAACCATCCAAAGAACTGCAGGCTTCTCTTGCCTCAGCTAAGGTCAGTGTTCATGACTCCATGATCAGAAGAGACTGGGCAAAAACGGGCTTCATGGGAGAGTGGCAAAGCACAAACCACTGCTAACCAAGAAGAGCATAATAGCTTATCTGTCATTTGCCAAGAAGCACCTGGATGATCCCCAAGCCTTTTGGGAGAATGTTCTAATGAGAGATGATCCAAAAGTGGAACTTTTTGGATGACATTGGTCTGGCGTAAAGCAAACACAGCATTCCATAGTAAGAACATCATACCAACAGTCAAACATGGTGTTGATAGTGTGATGGTGTGGGGATGCTTTGCTGCCTCAGGACTTGGACGCCATAATCGATGAACCATACATTCTGCTCTATATCAGAAAATTCCTAAGGTCGTCTGTCCTTGAGCTGGAGCTGAAGCTGAAGCATAGCTGGGTTATGCAGTAAGGCAATGATCCAAAACACAAAAGCAAGTCCATACTGTATCAGAATGGCTGTAAAGAAGCAAAATTAAAGTTTTGGAATGGCCTTGTCAAAGTCCAGACCTAAACCCAATAGAGATGCTGTGGCAGGACCTGAAACGAGCAGCTCATGCTCAAAACCTACCAATGTTTATGAATTAAAGAAGTTCTGCATGGAAGAATGGGCTATAATTCCTCCACAGCGATGTGAAAGACAGATATTGAATTATAGGGAGCGTTTGGTTGCAGTCATTGCAGCTAAAGGTGGCGCAACCAGTTATTAAGTATTAAGTACTTTTTCACACAGGGGATATGGGTGTTGGATAACTTTGTTTATTAAATAAATGAAATAATTATTAAAAGTGTTATTTGTTCACTCAGGTTCCCTTTATCTAATATTAGATTGTGTCTAAAGATATGAAAACATCCAGTGTGACAAATAAGGAATAATAGAGGAAATCAGGATGGGGGCAAATACTTTTTCATTGTACTTTCATATTACACACAAATGCTTATTTTCTTCTTATTTGTCTGTATTCTCTCGCTAATAATATCATTTAAGATGTAAACAAATAAAACTGAATAAATATTTTTACGTGTAATGATATCCTCATGTTCAGGTTTCTTCCCACCTTCTTCACACACACTGTGTCTATCTGCCCTGCACTGGCCAGTGTTACATCAAAGGTGTGGGCTCACCCAAGGCTTCCAAGGCACACTTTAAGTTGCTGTAACCTTAACCAACAATAAGCAGCTTTTGGATCATTAATGGATGGACGGGTAATTTACTAACCAAGGTTTTAATTACACAATTTTTCTTCAGTAGATTCATTATTGGTCATGTGCAATAGTGCTACACTCCAGTAAGCAGTCTTAAAGTATTTTTACCCCTGACTGCGTTGTATTGAGATAAACATGTGAACAATTTCCTAAAACAGAGTGCATTTTAATGATATATTGGCAGACTAGATAGGGTGGTTATGGAAAACGCAATTAAGCTTTTTTTTTACAATCAGACAGTAAGAAGTCAAGTGTGGTGGTTTAGTTTCCATTGGCTTTCCAAACTGATTAAATTATAAGTGCAAGGACATTCTACCCATATGAAACAGAACGTCTTCGAAAAGTGTTCTTAATTTTACAGTGCATGTCAAACTATTAATTCAAATCCTCAGAAAACCACTTCCCTCATCTTTATTTCATTTTTAATATTAAAAGGAATGCTATCTCAAATTCCCAAATAGCTAACCATTTCATTGTGGTTCTAACTCATTAATTGGAGCTCCACAGAAAGGTCAGGCTTGAGACATACACACACTCTTGCTGATTCCGAAGAAATCAGAGGTGGATTAAAATACAGGCACCAGGTCATTAAGTCGCTGTCCTTCTTATGTTCCATTGGGTGCTTTAATCTAAGGCAGGATGTAAAAGAAAATGCTTTCCTTCCCTCATAAGAAAGGCAAGATAAGATTAGCTGTTTCCCAAAAGAGTTGGACTGTTTCAAACCAAAAAAAAAAACTAGCAAAATGATTTGTTTGCTTTGGAAGATCTGTCATTGTGGGATCTCCTTACCACAGTTTTTGGATATTACCTGAATCCTTATTTAAAAGACACTTTTTATCACCCCCCCTCTTCTTGAGAGATATGGTACCTACTTGTGATTCACAGCAAAGGAATCTGACCTACACCTACAGTACTTCAGCCCAGCAAAAAACACAACTGGGTAACGAAAACAGGCTTACATTTCACCTCTTCCTCAGTCCAAGTTTTAACAATCATTATACTGTATATTCATTTATATCTCTCTAAAGCTTGATATTTAATCCATAATATGGCGCATTTGCAGATTATAACCTTCGTTGTCAAATGGCATAATATTTCTTGTCTTTCTGAATTTGTATACAGTATCTACTGTTTGGCATGCAGAATACACTGACATATACCTTTCTACAGTTTATGTTTTATATAATTTTATTAGACTTTATCAGTTTTTTATTTAAATCGAACAACGTCAGACTTAAAGGATCACAGTTTAGCTTTTAGTTTGCTTAACTAATTAATTCCATTAATTCAAGATGGCTTGCAAACTTTTTTCACTTACTGAATATGACAATTCCTGTGGAACACAGAATGCTCTTTACAGATCATCACTCTCCCACCTCAGCACTATTACCTTAACATTTTACAGTCCAGCTACTCATCCTAATGCTGATTTAGCACTACAGAATACATGCTCAGTATACTTAAACAATGTTTTCATTATAATGGTAAATGGTTAATTACAGTCTTCCTGGGGGATAAAAAAAATCAAAATGTCATTTTCTTTTGATTACAATGGATTTGAGAGAAAAATAAAAAGTTACATTAAAATTACCTTGATTACCAAATCAAATTTTTGGTATAAATCTCTGCTGATTGGCTTCAAAAGTCGAAGCTCTGCTGTAGATCCATTTAATCTGAAGTACTCCATGTAATTTTCCGGTGTACCTAAAAAGAAAGGAATTTAAGAAGGATTTATGTAAGCTTGCAGTTACCTTTCTTGCTTGAACACTGAAATGTGAAATGTCAGTCCTCTTTCAGCAGTCATATAACAAAAGCAATGGCTTACACAAAAGAAAAGCAAGAACAGGAATTTAATAACTGGAGCACGAGCAGGACACTATTAAAATGCAAAATGTAAAAGAAAAAAAGTTTGTGAAAAATACCAACAATTTAACCATTCCTGCTAAAGGACATTATTAGTATATCAGATCTAACAATGAAGAACAATGAAGAAAAAACACATTCATTGGAAAGAAGCCTGGCAGGTTGACGTGACTGTCACACATTCTTAAACAATTACGATCCCAGCATGGTTCTTCAAGTCTCTGAGTCTAACAATAGAGGCTACAGTATTTGTGTGGTGGTGTAGTTTTGAAAATGTCTTTACAATTAAGATGTTATTTGCTTGTTTGTTGGGTTTCTCTTTTTGCTTTTATGTTGTGTAACTGATGCCTAAATTAAAAACTGATTCACAGACCCCCCGGAGCTAGTCTAGGAAGGTCAACTCCAAACGTATTGTAGAAATTTCTCTAGTGTCTTTAGAGAAAAACAATATTCCTTAGTGAAAGATTTATAAATTCTCGAACAATGTCAACACAGTGTTTATTTCAAAGTTCCTACTACTTTTATGATATCCCACAGCCAACAGAAAGCTTGAAATCAGCATCATTCATCATCATCATTCATCATCAACATATTTTGTTAAAAGCGTCATCTGGTTCTGGTGAGTTCTACCAAGCTCCCTCATGCCTAAGAACAATTTCTGGAGGTGAAGACCTTCTGAAGACTGCTCTGTTAGCTAGAGAATTCGTAAATGCATTCTATTCCAGCAATTCTGATGTCGATGTACAGGGCTGATTATCTAATGCTGCTTTCACAGTAAATTGTTCCCTTACAAAGCCAGGGTGAATTGCGAACTGTGACTGATTGCAAATGACAGTGTGTTTGACAGGCACCTACCAACAAGGATGGAGTAAAGAATACCAGGTCGATCAGATGGAGGCTGTATGTTGCGGTCTTGATCAACCGCTTGAATGGTTGGAGTGACGTTAACTGGGTTCACTCTGCTCTGAAATGAATTTTTTTGTCCAACAGTTAGACATAAATACATACAACCATTAAGGCCAGCTGGTTCAGTACCTTTATTCACTCTGCTGAAATTAATATTCAGGTGAAAGGTTAGAAAATTTACTAATACTTTTTAAATGTATATATTATACTGAATATAATCATATATATTGACATATCTTTCCACCTTTTAATATCTGCAGAGAAGAGAAGCTGCTAATACTTTAAAAATGTTTGTAACAACAGGAACTTAAAATTATTACCGTTTATTTCTATAAAACCTAAAGAGCTACATAATACTATCATAACCAGACAAAACACAGTATAATAGTACAATATCACACAATACAAATTGAAGTGTAGGACAGTGCAGTATTGACTTCGATTACTATATAAAATATACTGTTCTGAGACAAAAAATGAGGCAATGTGTATAGTTACCAAAAGCTAGTAGCCATAGACTTTTTTATGTCAAAAATACTTAGTAAGGTCAATGCATGCTATAGATAGCACAAAATAACAGTTTTCAATTGCTAGTTAATTAGAAATGTTGTTTTCGTTCAGTTCACTTTACAGTGCCTCCAGTAATTAAAGCATTTTATCACCCAAAGCACAAAAATGTTGTGTAGCTACTATGTCTTGATGTTATCACTGCACTCTGTCTATAATTGAGCTTTATACTGCCCCAATTTTCTTAGCTCTTTAACTGTCTGTAATTCAGAGAACACATTGTTTAGTTAATAGTTTGTGGATACTGCAGATCAAATAAAGTATTTGGTAATAAAACACCAAAAAGAAATGGACATACAAATTAGTCGAATCCTGTAATACTGGTGAATTAAGAGAAGATCCATGACAGACGTGATAATTTTAAAAATACCAATAAAAATAGCTAAGAATCTTTTACTTTCATTACACTGCAGAACATTAACTCTTATATAGGCTTGTTCAGGAAATGTTTCAAATACCACTTATCAAGGGAATTACTGGACAACAGGCTTGGCTTGGCTACCAGTCTGTAACACATCAACAATGAAAGAGGGTTCTGTTCATGGTGCCTCTTTTTTCTCCAGGATAAAAGCAGGAGAAATGTCTGTGATAGATTCTCCAACTTATACATCAAACAATTGCCAAAAACAGCTACCCGGGGAACAAAAATACTAATACTAAGGAATTATTTAAATTTCCTGACACAAGTTCAACTAAAATGTTGATTACCTTTGAACACATTTTTTGAGGTTGCTAAAATGACATTGATCAGTCACACAATTCATTCAAAGATTCATAATTCAGTTTTGTGGTGTAATGTGGCATTTAGAGAAGGCTTTACAAACTGCTTCATAGATGCGTAGAGTGAATTCTTGGCTGGGTGTCATCTCCAGCCTTGGATGACAAGAGTGAGACTTTAAAGTCAATATTCAGGACCTGAACCTAAAGGCATTCAGCTGGTGAAATGTTGGATGTTAAAGATGGCCATAAAATACTCAGATGTTCATACGCTCTACCATCTGTCAGCATGCTCCCCACATACAGTGCCTTGCAAAATTATTCACCCCCCTTGGACTTTTTGACATTTAACTGTGTTACAGCATAGAACCATAATGTATTAAACTGAGACTTTTCGCCACTCATCAACACAAAGTACTCTATAATTTTCAAAGTGAAAAAAACTAAATTAATTAATTACATTTAGCTAATTTAATTAAAAATAAAAGAAAATAATTGAATGCATAAGTATTCCTCCCCAGAGTTAAGTGAGTCTCTTTGGGTAAGTCTCTCTCAGCGTTGCACATCTTGACACAGAGATTTGTGCTCATTCTTCTTGGCAAAATTGCTCAAGCTCCATCAAATTGGATGGGGACCATTTGTGAACAATTTCTAAATCATTCCACAGATGCTTAATTGGATTGAGGTCTGGGCTTTGACTAGCCCACTCCAGGACATTAATCATTTTTGGTTTTAAGCCACTCCAGTGTGGTTTTTGCTGTATGTTTTGGGTCATTGTCCTGTTGGGAAATTAATTGTCTTCCACGTCACAGTGGTCTTGTGGATTGCAGCACGTTTTCCTCCAGGATATTTCTGTACTTAGCTCTATCCATTTTCCCTTCTATCTTTATGAGTTTTCCAGTCCCTGCCGCAGAGAAGTATCCCCAAAGCATGATGCTGCCACCACCATGCTTCACTGTAGGGATGGTGTTCTCAGCGTGATATGCTGTGTTAGGTTTGCACCAAACATAATTGTTCAATTTTGATCTCATCAGACCATAGAATCTTCCTCCAAATTGTTGAGTCTCTCAAACGCCTTTGGGCAAACCCCAGCTGAGATGTGATATAAGTTTTTTTCAGCAAAGGCTTTCTTCTTGCCACCCAGATTTATGAAGCTAGATTTGGTATAAGCCAGATTTATGAAGTGTGCGTGCTATTGTTATTTCATGCACAGTTTCTCCCATCTCCGTCAAGGAGGACTGTAACTCATTTAGAGTTGCCTTAGGCCTCTTGGTGGCCTCCCTTACTATGGATCTTCTTGCATGGACACTCAGTTCTGGAGGACAGACAGTTCTGGGCAAATTCACAGTTGTTCCATATTTTCTCACCTTTATAATGATGGACTTCACTGTGCTTCGAGGTACAGTATATTCAATGCCTTGGAAAGTTTCTTATATTCTTGCCCCTGACTGGTATTTTTCAAGAACCGTGTCTCAGATCTGCCCTGGAGTGTTCCTTGGTCCTCTTGGTGTAGTGTTTCCTTGGAAATACACTAAGTTGGGAAGCTCACAGACACAGGTGTATTTATTCTAAAATCAACTGCACACCGCTGGTCCCCAGTCAATTAATTATGTGACTTGAAGAGTGCTACAGGTATATACCGTAAGTGTAAGGAATTATTTATGATTAATTATTATTATAAAAGGTAAGTATGGTAGGTAGTTAATATAATGTTAACCTGTTCTCTACAGAAAGAAATACCTGTCAAAATACTGTTAGGATGCAAATCCAGTAAGGATACATACTGTACATCACGCTTCTTTCACGTAATGATCTTCACTAACATTTGGTATAGAAAAATATGTAACTAAGATCAAAATTGCCATAGAAGACTGTTAAGATTAAGACCAAATGAATAATCACGTATCACTTGCGTCACATTTTAAAATAGTATCAACGAAATATAATTTCAGGTTTTGGATTGTGGTCATTTAAACCTTAAATACACAACCATGAAGCTCAAATTAAAAAGTCTGCCATGCAAAGTTGTACAATCATTAAACTGATAAAGTATGGAGTCTGCACATACACAGAAAGAAAAACACTTCTGTGCATATGTAACCTGCTATGTTTCTGGGCACTCTCCCATGTGATGTTATTAGTCATATACAGTATATCAACACCTACGGATGCAGCCATTCAAAACAAGCGGGCGATACTGCATTATTTTGCGGTGCGCTTTACGCAGTCTACCGCGAGTTACCGTAAATTATCCTATAGTACCGCACGAAAAATAATAGTATCCGGAATTTCCACAAGGTGGAGCTAATAAAGCTCAACCTCTCGTTTGAGCTGTCGCCATCAAAGTCTTTAATGAAGATATTACTAATAGTATTAATAATGAATGACCTTGGACAAGCTGTAAACTTAAAGTATTGCCCTGGTCCACATTCATTATTTCATTGACCGTCTTTGTAAAAGTAACACCACAGCAATTCGCAATCACGCATTTGTTTCCAATCATGCAAAGTACAGTAATTTTTGATTCACCATGCCTTTCACATGCTCATAAAAGAGATTGATTTAGGAACATAAACATATTACTGTATGCAAACTGTACTGTATACAGTATGTATATGTATATTTAATGTCTTTACTGTGCCCATTTAAGTATTGAAGATTTATATGGAATTTTACCACAGAAGGGAAATCTTAGTAGCTGAGCATAAAAAGAATAGGAGCATACTGTAACGGGGGTGAAGGCCATAAACGATATTAATTTTGGAACATAAACATACAGTTTATGGCTGGTCTCGGTACTTTAAAGAAAACATACACAAGTATTCCATTTCTCCCTAAACATTTTAAGCATCGAAGTCTTTAACTAATGTGATACTGGAGTCAACAAGGATACTTTTAGAATTTGATTAAAAGGGAATATAATATGGAACAAACATTTCTTTGAAAAAATAAACATTTCCCTGGGTCAGAGATTAAATAAAACTTCACTC